GTGGAGGGAGTTTATATCCAGAAAGAAATAGGGGAGAGAAGGGGAGGGACGTTCCAGAAAGAAGGGGGGTGGAGGAGGAGAGGAGGGGAGGAGGATCTAGGGAGGAAGGGAGAGAGGGAGAACTCCATGGGAGAGGGGGGAGGAGGAGGATCCAGGGGAGAGGGAGGAGAGAATCTAGGAGGGGAGGAGGAGAATCCAGGAGGAAGGGGGAGGGAGTGAGAATCAGGGAGGGAGGGAGGAGGACCGGAGGAAGGGGAGGGAGGGAGAGGGATCCAGGGAGCGAAGGGGAGGGAGGAGGAGGATCCAGGGGAGCGAAGGGGAGGGAGGAGAATCTAGGGAGGGAGGGGGAGGATCCAGGGAGGAAGGGGAGGGAGGGAGTGAGGATCCAGGGAGCGAAGGGGGAGGGAGTGAGAATCTAGGGAGGGAGGTCAAGAACCCCTCGTTTAAACGGACTGAATTTTTTTCTCACAATGGGGCCTCTGGTTAAGGGACGACCTGCCTTGTTCCACACGATAGATGGAGGGATGGATGGATAGATGGATATACAGCATACGAGTATTAATGTATATAGTTACACACATTCATAACATACATACATACATACATACATACATACATACATACATACATTCACACATTCATACAGTAAAATTCGCCATATAGGTTCAAGTGTACACACACAGAACAGGTAAACAAAAAATGGTATGTCAAGACAACCAAGGGTAGACCAAAAACCTCTTATTCTTTCTTAGTTTTACGAGAGAGAGAGAGAGAGAGAGAGAGAGAGAGAGAGAGAGAGAGAGAGAGAGAGGAAATGGAGACATAGGTAATTATATATCTGTAGATAGATATAGAGAGAGAGAGATGTAAACATTGATAGAAAGTACTTATATATATAGACTACAGTAAGTGTATGAGTGAAATAACTTGTGAGTGAGTAAGTGAATGAACGAGTAAGTGGATGAGTAAATTTCACTCATCCCAGAGGCAAAGAAAACAAAAACTCGTTCCCTGCTTCGCCACCTCTCTCTCTCTCTCTCTCTCTCTCTCTCTCGACTAGCTGAGAAGTGAGGGAGTTATGTCTGGAATAGGCGTGAGAAATTACCCCTGGGAGTAGAGGAAATAGGGGAATTATCTCTGGGAGTAGGGGAAAAATAGGGAATTTATCTCCAAAACCAGAGAAATATTATAGAAATTATCTAAATATAAGGTGAGAAGGAAAAAATAAGACTATTATCCTTTAAGAGTACACACCATCCCATTACTAACTAAATATATAAGTTTGATATAGCCACGTCTGTACATTGGTAATATTGTCAGATAATATAGCAAGTAATATATTAAGGTCAAACTATTATACTGCTGGGAGTTGGTTATAAGAGATATGGAATTTCTGTTATTTTTCCTACAGGTGCTGACGTGTAGGGAGGGTTCATTTACCTGTACAGTAGACGTGTGTGTGTTTGGAGCGGTTACACTTAAAGGTACCGCTCAACACACAAACACACACACACACACACACACACACACACACACACACACACACACACACACACACACACACACACACACACACACACACACACACACACACACACACACACACACACACACACACACACACACACACACACACACACACACACACACACACACACACACACACACACACACACACACACACACACACACACACACACACACACACACACACACACACACACACACACACACACACACACACACACACACACACACACACACACACACACACACACACACACACACACACACACACACACACACACTACACACACACACACACACACACACACACACACACACACACACACACATCTACACACACACACACACACACACACACACACACACACACACACACACACACACACACACACACACACACACACACACACACACACACACACACACACACACACACTACACACACACACACACACACACACACACTTATATAATACTAAAGTAACTATTGTCGCTAAACCTGAACACGGATTTCCGCAAAAAAAAAGGTTAGGTTAGGTTAGGAGAAAAGATAATATTTCTAACTCACTTAACTAACGATAAAAAAGTTACAATACGTTAGATGAGACACGTTCGAGGCTTCCATAACTATATACGTGTTTTCTTACTAATCTTTTAGAATCTTTATGGCTAGTCGTAGGTTGTGGTAGTTTGGTTGAGTGTGGTAGTTTGGTTGAGTGTGGTAGTTTGGTTGAGTGTGGTAGTTTGATTGAGTGTGGTAGTTTGGTTGAGTGTGGTAGTTTGATTGAGTGTGGTAGTTTGGGTGAGTGGTAGTTTGGTTGAGTGTGGTAGTTTGGTCGAGTGGTACTTTGGTTGAGTGGTAGTTAGGTTGAGTGTGGTAGTTTGGTTGAGTGTGGTAGTTTGATTGAGTGTGTAGTTTGGGTGACTGTGGTAGTTTGGTTGAGTGTGGTAGTTTGGATGAGATTGGTCGTGTGATAGTGCGTTACAATGGTGTAGTGTGTTAGAGTGTGGTAAGAGTGTGGTAGCGTGTAGTAGTTTGGTAGTATGGTTGAGTGTGGTAGCATGTGGTGAGGTGTGATAGAGTGTGGTAGTGTGAGTGATGGAGTGTGGTTAGGGTGTGGTAGAGTGTGTGTAGTGTGTAGTATAGTAGAATGTGGTAGGTAGGAAACAAGAATTGATGTGTGTGTGTGTGTGTGTGTGTGTGTGTGTGTGTGTGCCACCTCCTCACACACACCTCGTCTATGATACAAATGTCACTTGCTAAGATTAATATTTCATTGATATTACGTTAATCTTCATCAAACCCAAATCAATTTCCCGACAGGATTCTAAAAGTTTAATTGAAATTATAAAAGAGAAAAAGTATTAATTTGTTGTTTAGTATTCAGAGCGTTAATAAGCACACACTTGGCCTTTCAAACACGTATACATACATACATACATATCCAAATACCCAGATACACACATGTACACACAATTCACACATACATACACATACGGACACATACATACACACGCGCACACATCATTACACTAAAGTAAAGAAGTGACAGTAAAGTGTGAGAGCAGAGACACTAAAGTGTTAAGTCACAATGATACCAAAACACTTAAGAAAAAACCCCACTTATGAGGGAGATTATGAGTCAAAAGAGGAGAATGAGGCACATGAGAGGGGGGAGGGGGAGTGAGGGAGATAGATACAATGGTGAGGGTGTAATGAGGCGTGACTCATCTCATTGTATTGTAACAAAGACTCCCGAGACCTGAAATTATCGTTCATCTATGTGTACAGGTCGACGGCAGCCATGAAACCATTCCAAACACAAATATTGCTTCAATAAACTCACTAATCAAAGCGCGTATTGATGCTCTTGCAAAATCTAAAACATCCATTGACGTTATTTTATTATTAATATTGAAACCAGCACAGAGATATTGCTACATGGATGATTATTATTCACACAGTAAGAAAAACCGCAGCCGTCATCTCTCGTGGTTTAACACAAGCAATAGGGAACATAAACCACTAAGTACATAGAGATTACAAAGTAAACGCGACCGCAGATTAGAAACTCTCCATACAGCAGAAGGGAAACGCAGATAATAGAGCGAATAACAAAACCATTTAAAGTAACCGCCCGAGGGTTGACAGGTGTTTCCGTTTCGCCCAAAATTGAGGTGAGAAAAATAATTTCAGGGCTGCCAACCCCCCGTCAAAAGTAGGGGCGGTGGTAGTGGGCGCAGGGCAGCCAACCTTTATCTACAATTGATGACTTTTGGGGGTAATTATGGCGGCCCGGAGTCGATATTGATTATTTTTAACTCTGTGGCTTGTTGAGTGTTCACATGGAGGGAAATGTGATGAGGGAGGACTTAGTATTTACTGGTGGGGGAGTCATTATGCGTAACTACCATGCACAGACAGCATCATGACGAGTGAGATAGTGAGAGAATGAGAGACAGTGAGAGAGAAAGAGAGAGAGAGAGTTGGTGAAATAGACGACAATAAGATAAACAAACTCATGCCACCGCAACTTTCCGAGGTGTAAACGCGACCAGGCCAGCCAAAATTCACAAAGAAGCAGCGTTGGCAGCGCCCCAGAAACGGGTCCAAGGGTTTTTTGTTTCAAATTATAGTTAATTTTAGACGATGTCAGAATGGAGCAGCTTCCCTCGCTACCGTCTACATTACACTTATCATCTTTATGTTATACTCAAGTAGAATGAAGAAAATGATAACGAAGTGAACTTTATAATCCCCAATACGAACCCCTCGTAATTCTCGGCATAACCCTGACTTGAATACGAAATGAGTAATACACACACAGGGACCCGCGTGTTTTTTTTTTCCTATGAAACAATCAGACAGCCGCGGGGTTTGAGAATTTTTCAATTTCCAAACATCAAACAGAAGAAACGGGCGGCGGCGAGGCGGAGCGAGGCTAACCATCCCACCTGATACGGAATGCCGGCGTTCTCCATTATCTGAGGCACAGAGGCCATATAAAAATTTATTATTCCCCCCTCCCTCCTCCTCCTCCCGCCCGTCACCTCCCGCACCCCCCTTCCGCAAAGAGCTCACCCGGGTCGCCAGTTTATGTTTATCTCCGTTATTATTGCGGCGCTGTATACGAATATACAGCGTCGTAGGGAGGTATTTGGCATTGTATACATGCTAATGTGGGCGTGTTGTGTGCCCAAGCGTGTCCAAATTCCCTGGGTTTGGTGATATTTGATGGAGTTGTTGTGCCTTCACTCAAATCAGCTGGGTGGCCGCATGTTGGCGCCGACAGTGGGAAAGTGTGTCGTACGTTCGAGATATTTGATAAAACTTTTGATTTGTTCTCTTTTCCTCCAAATGTGTTAAATTAAGACAGAAATATATATTTAAAGTAAATATATGCGTTATTTAAAAAAGTATTTGGACTTAAGGGAAAGTTTGAGGTAATAATCTTGCGTGTGGCTGAGTGGACTGGGCGGTAGTTGCGTTAGCGGCCGTCAGGGGGACGGTCGGTCTGAATATTTTTGAGCAAAAAATTATCTAAATAAAATTCGAAAGGCGCCATAGTGACTGGGTTCAAGGTAAGCGGAGGATGTCGGAGTAATTTCGGATGGTGTGGGGTGTGCTTTGAGAAGGGAACCCGGTGTTATTAGTGGTGTTTTGATCCCGTGTTTGAAAAAGAGGGCGGCGGTGGTGGTGGTGGTGACCCTCGCCCCTCTAACTCTTTCCACCCAAAAACGAAAAACAGGAAAATGAAAGCAGTCGACGATTAATCGAATTTGAGAGAGTCTTAAGGTCGCGTCGGGCCGCACCAGTGTTGGATCAGTTCTCTCCGCTATTTATGTCTCCAAAGGTACGTGGACTTAGTTATTTACTGTGTGGTATTATAGAGTGTTTAAGGGGAAAAACAGGGGGCACATTACCATGGGTCTCCGCCTCTAAGAAATATTAATGAGTTTTGAGTCCATGACGGAGTGAGTGGTGAGTGTAGTAGTGAAATAATAGAGAAAAACAAGGACATTATCTCCACAAGTGATATAATGATTAATTAGTGGTTAATACAAAATCTATGGACATATAAGAGTATAATAATGTACCATCAGTGTTGAACTATACTACGAGTGTCTATATAACCACAGAACAAATTAAAAGAAATTACAGAATCTAAAGTAAGTTCCGAGCAAAAATAAACTCCTGAAGTGAAAAATTTGACTTGAGAATAACTTTGGCGAATGTGAAGATATATATTTTGAGCTGCCCCACACAACTAAGTTCTTGGAAGACTGTGTGTGTGTGTGTCTGGGGCCGCTCCCTGAAACCCTCTCTTGTGAATCATACTTTACATTCATTATCAATTGATGAATAATTATGGTGTTTTTAATATGTGTGGTTGGAGGTACAGTGAAGGGGGTTTTGTGCATGTATGGTTGCAGGTATAACGAGGTGTTTTAACGTGTGGTAGAGGTTTAACAAGTGTGATAGATGTAAAATGGTGTTTTAACGTGTGTGGTGGAGGTTTAACGAAGGTATTTTACATGTGTGGTGGAGGTTTAACAAGTGATAGGCGATTAATGAAGGTGTTTGATGTGTGTTTGGGATAAGGTGTTTTAACAAGTGCGGTGGAGGTTTAACAAGTGTTAGGCGATTAATGAAGGTGTTTGACGTGTGTTTTGGATTAGGTGTTTCAACAAGTGCGGTGGAGATTTAACGAAGGTATTTAACAAGTTTGGTGGAAGTTTAACAAGTGTGATAGACGATTAATGAAGGAGTTTAACGTGTGTTGATGGAGTTACAACGACTGTATTAAGCGTGTGTTTGTGTGTGTGTTTGTCGACAAAATGTGAATAATTTCGATGGCACGAGACCACAGTGGGATTTTGGGTGAGTGTGAGGTGGTTATGAGTGATTGTGAGATGCCTATGAGTAGATATGTGAGTGTGTTGTGATTATGAGTAGTTATGAGGTGGTTCTAAGGTGTTATGAGTAATTGTCTGTGTGAGGTGGTTATGAGTGGTTTGGGGTTAGCGTGAGGTGATTTTGAGTATAGTTATATGTGTGTGAGGTAATTGTGAGTAGTGATGTCTGAATGAGGTGATTATGAGCAGTCATGTTTTTGTAAGGTAGCTATGACTCATTACATGTGAGTATGAGGTGGCTGTGAGTGGTTGCTTTGACTTCAGATTTTTATGAGTAGAGGATTATAATGACTTATTTTTATGAGTGATTTATAATAGATTATTTTGGAATCATAATGAGTACGATTATTAAATGAGTATAATGAGTCATTACCGTGAGTGGTTATTATGAGTTTGGTTATTAATTGGGATCGTAATTATTATGATTATGGTTATTATGTGATTATTATGAGTAATTATGAGTGAGTGTTGTAGTATAGTAATGAGTTTGTTTAATTAATGAGTGATCATTATTAGTATGATTATTTAAAGTGATCATGATGACTCATTATTATGAGTAGCATTGAGTTGTCTGATCAGTGATGTGAGTTATGTGTATAATTAATGAGAGTCAATGGCTATTGTGAGTGACTATGGCAGTAGTTTGAGTATTATGAGCGATCTTTATGGGTAATTATAATGAGTTAGGATTATTATGTTATTTCCCCAGATTAACCAACGCGAAACTCATTAGTAGTGATTACACTTTTTTGAGATTTTCAAAGAAATTATAAAAAAAATCTGCAACATGGCAAAATTATTATTAAAGTGGTTTTTTTTATATAAATAGAATAAGACATTTTTTTCATAGAAATTGTGAAAAGGAAATTACGAAAAATAATTTCTACGAGGTTTTTAAAGAAATTGTGAAATGTTTTTTGTTTTTCAGTGTTTTTCAAAATTATAAAATTGACATTGTCATTTGTGTTTTCCTGTTTATATAGTTAACTCAGAAATTTTAGTGATCTGCATTCCCAGCGAGGATAAATGGCAGTGAGGTGTGTTGGTGAAATAGGGAGTTGAGAAAGTAGTTTGACCCAACTATGCAAATGAACAGTAGAATGGCCTATTTTGTTTAATTTAATAGTAGGATAACTTTAACCACTGTATGAATAATAGGATGACCTAGTGAGTAAATAGGTTAGGTTAGTTTGGGGTCTGTGGATAGATACAAGACAAATCCAGACCATAAATGAATAAAATTACCCATTTCTCTTGGAGTGGCTAAACTTGGCCCACTCCCACGAAAACATTTGTCTTGCCTATAAAACTGAATAAGCAACTTGACCACCTCACTACCATGTACGAGTGAGTTACCTGTGTCTTCAATGGGTAATAAAGTACTCTTTTTTTTTTTTCTTAGTTCATGAATATATGTATACTGTACATGCCCAGCCTCAGGAAGGAGTGATGAGGCTCACCTTATGAATGGCTTAAGTGAACTCATAACCTGTGCTTTACTAGACTGACTCACCTCATAAAATTCTTAACTGGTTCATATTGTGAGTAGCTGGGTGAAGCAGGTTCATTCTCATGGGTTGTTTTGACTCCTCCTAAACAATGGGGAGGTTGTTTTATAGTCCAATCCCCATGAGTGAGTATTTGAATGACCTACCTTCCCATGGCTGGTGACCCCATTACCCATGAATCAGTCCGATATGTCTTGGGAATTAATGGGTTAGCTGGTAGGCAATTTGTTACTCATCTTCCCATGAATTTGTCTAGTATCAAAACTCATATATGAATAAGTTAGCCCACCCACTCATGAATGAATAACTTAGGCCACTTACTCATTACTGAATAAAAATTAGCCCACCCACTCATGATCGAAGAAATACTGTAGCTAACTCATTTGCTTTCCATTTGTGAACTTTTTGTACACCTCCTCATAATTGTACTCAACCTTTCCCTCATAATACCCATAGTTCATTCCCTCATAATCACTTGTTATGTCATTCCTCATAATCATTATCATCCTATTCCTCATAACATTCATCATTCCTTCCTCATATTCTCTCACTCATAACCAGCAGTGTTTGTATAATAACCCCATCTCATAACCTGTCATGCATTCCTTCATAACCAGCCGAAATATATAACTTCAACCCTCATAATGACTATTATCACATACTGTATCTCATAACCTATCCTTCCATCCTTTGCAACCACAAGTCATCCTACCACAAATAATACAGTAACGCAAGTGTGTGTGTGTGTGTGTGTGTACTATGAAGGTAACCAACATATTATCTACCTGAAAGCAATTTAATCGTGATCAGAAATTAACCACTAGACATGTCAGAGCATAAAGCCAACTAATACAAACCTTGAATGGTATGCCAGTACATGAACCTATTAGTTTTTGGCCTGGGTGTGCATGTCACTGGGCACAGCACACTTGTATTCCGGCGGTCCTCTACCTGACGGAATCCTTAGCCCACAATGTGATACAGTACTGTGATGTGTTGGATGGTGTGATATTTTTTACAGAGGAATGCTCCTTAAATTGTTCGCCGTGGGTATGGGAACTTTAAGGGTGTACTTGATGAAGGTCTTGAGAATTTGGTGTGGTGCTGTGAGCCAGCAGTGACAGTGCAACAGTTCAATGGTGTTTATACTGTATTGTGCAAGGATGGTTCACTGTATTTTTATATCTAGGTTTAACATCAATTACAGATAGCAGTTACCTATCATGCATGGATTATCTACTGGAATTAATTACACAAAAATTCCTTGTGATTTCACTTGGTTGTTAATTAAGAGTATGGTAATGTATCTAGTTAATTGTAATGAGTTATCTTGATTAATTATTTGTAGCCATAGATTACATAGATAGATGATCAGTTTTCAGTAGTAAACTATTAAGAGTTTTTGTCATAAAGGGATTTTCTACTTAACACTGTTGTTATATCATCATCACAGACTCCGAGTACTCTATGTTGAATGTCTTCTTTCATAGATCCATTTAAAATTACATTGAAATATAAACACCATAAATTAACTATCGTAGTGTTATCTGTTAGTAAAAAGGACCTCGGAGATACCCAGTTTTTACCATTATGTCCGTTGTATTGAGTAATATGGTAATCATAAGTGAGGTTCTAACTATTCTCTACTGTGTTCACTTACAAAATGTGTCCACTGAAGTTTTTTCATATGTTGTATTTTGTCTGAACTGCCTTAGTGTGTGTTAAGGATCATTGTTTTGAAGCACAGAAATACAGTTTAAGTACAGTACCCGGTACATATTTAACAGTAGTAAGCTCCCCACAGGTGTATATTAAGCTCTACTGTAACCTATGTCATAACCTACCTGTTGTAATGTATTTGTTTACATACGCACTACAGTATTATTTATTTTACACTCCATTGATTTCAGGTGTTATTTGAGTGAATGTGATGTTTTGTTGTTTTATACTGAAATCTAAGCGGTCTTTGAATCAGTGGCCAGGAATGATTTACATATATTGTACACTACTGTACTGTTTTATACTGTACACCTGTATTCTTCAGTTTCAAAATTTTTGTATTAATTTAACTGTTTCTTGATCACTCCTTATAATGCAAGTTTATTTTTAAGATAACTCTGTAATTCATTAGTACTATAGTACTGTACTGTTAACTATACCAATATGGCCTATGGTATTTCAATCCAATTCTGAAAATCTGTCAATTTGTGGTCAGACTAAGTGTAGTTGTAACCATAATCAAATACTTTGCCCAAAGTAACTGTAATGGCAGTCACTCCGTGTCTGTACCAATTACAGTTCCATACATATAGGTCTATTCTCAGGGTAGACCCATAGCTCTCTGTTATTGGCACCTTAACTCTTAAACATAAATACAGTATCAGGTCCTAGGGCCGAGTTGATGCTTTAATTATCATCTTTCGGTTATT